CATCGATGGCTCCTGTGGTCCAATGTGGATGTCGGTGTGTTTTGGTCAGAGAATACATCGTTAGACCTTTGATGGTGAATGATGCCCTGCGTCGCAGCGATCCAAAACTTTACACTGGTTGCGAGCGTCGATGCGTGCTCATCACATCACATGCGTGGCTTCTCTACCCCACTGCTTGGCTTTCCGCGCGCTAGTGATGAAGTGCGGTTCAGATGAAAGCATCCAGCATCCAGAACCGTTGCTTCAGGAACTGAATCTCTGCCGACCGTTTGGTCATGGCATCTCCAAGCATCCAATCTCCGGTAAGCCAGATCAATGGAGCGCCAGCGCGTTGACATCCAAAGCTTGCACAGCTTGCGCGTGAAAGGCCGAGAATCTCAGCAGACCTTGCCACCATTGCCTGAATCTCCACATCATCGGAAGAATTGGCAACAGGCTTCAGCTTCCAGGTCTTCCACGAGATATTCGGGTCCTCCAAAAAAGGAAACAAGTCTGCCGGTCGCTCCATCAGGGCGGCTGCGGCGCGCCTGATCTTTGAGCGTGATGACAGTCATGTCCAGGCAACGATGCACTGGGGTCCCTTCTTTAAGACAAGCTTGGTCGGAGCTTTGCGGGCTTCATTGATCAACTGCTGGGTAGCCTCAACTCAATGGTCAGGAGCGGACACTGGGCTTATCATTGTCCAAAAGGAATTGGTTGGTCTTCACCTTGGGATGGCAAAGAAATGACTGTCCCACAGTGTCATTTTTTTAAAAGCGTTATAGGTCGCCATTTTTTCTGCTGCTCCGCAACGGCAGATGGATTGTGAGGTTATGGTGGTGGGTTTATGGTATTTGCTTTCTTTGACCGAGGGGAGAGCCAAGCCCAAAGCTTCTCTACTTCGTGCGAGAAGTGCCCCAAAGGCAGGGGGCTTTGTGGAGAAGACATGATGAGTTGCAGTGGGTCCAAGCATGGTAGATTTTTGGGATCCCCGTCTGATTCCAGTTCTAGAATCATAAGCTGCTTGAGGGGACCTTTCTCAACCTTCTGCACAGGGCAATCTGCCAGGTGTCAGGTGTGTTGGGAGCGCAGGCCGCAGACCACAAATCAGCGGTCACGAGCAGTCAACAGTCTCACCGTCCCTGCTCACACATCTAATCCGGCCTCTGTCCAGTCCTTTTGTCCCCATCTCCAGTAAGCCCTGCTTGGGAACCACAAACGTCAAACGTCCGAGACGCCATATGGTTGAAGATATCATGCGAAAGGTGCTATGGCTGGTCTTGAGCCTCAAATTCCTGAGATGTCAGGGTGGAAAGCTGTATTTGGAAGCAGGCTTCCGTTCACATCACCAGTTTCGCCCTTGTGAGATCCATCAACGATCCTAGAGATTAGAATCACCCCAGGAACCGAACTGCGAAGACATTGGTGTGGCTGAACATCATCCAACCCACAGCTGATTACTTGTACCTCAAAAGGCTTGCTTACTGTGCACGCAGACCTGTTTAAGCCCAGACCAGTTTTGCTGCCCTTTGATTCCAGGCACGATGAGTCATGCCTGGGGCAGCATCATGTGCGAGCCTTGCGGGCAGGGCTTTTACCAAGACTCTGTGGGCCACTCAATGTGCAAAGCATGCCCTGCTGGGCGCACCACAAAGCTGCTGGGGGCCACCGGGTTGAAAGGCTGCGTTTGCCAGGCGAGCGGTCAAAAGGTGGTCGGCCACCAGATGGAAGTCGTTGGAATGGAAGTCGTTTCCAGCGTCTTTCCGGCCTCTTTCCTTGCAATTTTGGAATCAAAAGGGACGTTTTTTTTCTGCCCAATTAAAGTATTTCCGTCAGCACCAGCGAGTTAGCAGAGCCACGAAAAGACATCTTCCTGTATAATCATATAAAATATATACTTAAAGAGAACTTGGGAAGGTCCCTGGGCGTTGACCTCACCTGGTTCACTGGAAAATCATTCAGCCAAAAAAAGAATATTTTTCAGCTGATTTGCCAGGCGGGCTCGATTGAAGAGGAGGGTCAGTGCGTGCCGTGCGGCACTGGCATCGCGTGTCCACTGGGAAGTACGTTGGAGGACCGTCGTTCTGCAAAATATTGAGTTCCTGATGAAGCTTTCAACAGGTAGACATGACATCAATGACCTATGTCTTTTGAGCAACCCACATGTACACGATTTATATACATGTACCTACAAGGCATTCATGCCGATCAAACATGGTGTTGGAACTTGAAAGGCCTTTGGAGTGATTCGACGTCTGGCAGGATCTGAAAAGCAATAATGACTCCGATCCCAATCTCCCTCGTGTTGAGGCTTTGCCGAGTAAAGGGCTTTGTCATACTTTCCAAGGGATGAGGGCCTTACGGGACGGGTGCATGGCCCCTTTGGACAGTTGAGCCCAACTGGTAGCTCTTTTGGACGTTGCCATCCAAGGTTTGAGGCGAGTTGTACAGGGACGGGCCCACGCCATGGGCGGACAGCTTTGGAATCAAACAACTCGCCATAAAGTAGACTCCAAAGAGAAGCGTTTTGAGACCCAACGCGGAAATAGGCGAATAGCTAACTTGCATGATCCTCCGGTATTTTTTCAATTCACTCCGATCATCGTTCTAGTGTTGTTTGCTTCTGGCTTCTAGGCCTTTCAAGCGTTCAAATCCTTGTCCTTCGCATTTCAATGTCAGTTCTACTATAACTCATCGCCACCAAAATTCCACCCAACGGCGACGTAGTAGTAGTCATGAGCTGATGGCAACATGCCAACTTGTGTGGCGGGGCACCACATTGCAATTGGTGCCACCACGTAACATGCAACCCTTCGAGCTAAAAGCGTTCCCATGTATGTACATCTACCTGAGCAACTTGAGCTACGAAGTTTTTGATTCACCATGATTCAGCAGCAGTCGGTTCAGATTCTTACTATTCTCGGTTGGTTGGCCTGACAGGAGAAAGGACCTATGGGGCCCTATGTCACAAGACCAAAATGAGAGGACCCCAAAACCAAGACTCAAAACCTACAGGGCGTTTGCAGATAGAACCGACCAAGGAACCCGGCTTCGTGAGCCATTGGTCCTCGCCGCTGCAGACCTTTCGCTGCCGGGGCTCGGCTTGTCCCGGTGGCGCGCCGGGCTCGTGCTCCGCGGCCAACCGGTGGGACCGGTGGATGGGGTGATGCGAGCCAGTGCTGTGGGTTGGGCTCAGATCTGACACCGCGGTTGGGGTGTAAAAAGACTCCAAAAGCCTCAGACGTTTGCCCCCTCAAAGGTTGTGGAAAACAACTCCTTGTTGAGGTTCTGGAAGTAATAATCTAAGTGGAGCAAGTCACTTTGATGATGACAACATGGAAGAATGACATGGTGATCAACTTGATCATCAAGGTGATGCATTGCCATCAAAATCATTTTCTCTCCCCAGAACTATATAACATGGAAGTGGAAAACCCGCTGGCCATGCAGAGGAAATGGTCTTCCCAAGCGGGCCATGCCATGCCCTTCGATGTGAATTCTAGGGAGTGCCCCCAGAAAGACCGGCAAGCTGGCAAGGTTCCAAGACTGGAAGGCTTCCAAGTTCAGGTTCGCAGGATCCGCGAAGGCCCAAAGAAGGCATTCAGCAAGTATTGTGAGTGGCGAAGCGGTTGGTTGAGCAGCTTAGATTTGGGTGATGGTTCCCTTCCTTGAACCACCTGAAGCCATCAGCAGGGGCTTCTGAGCATTTCTCAGCTGAGCATTTCTAGTTGATCACCCGAGTTTTGTCAGCGACCTGAGGCTTTGGTGGCCGGCAAGGTATTGTCTGTGGGGAGTGCCCGGCAGAGATGCAGCTTGTGAAGGAGGGGTGTTCAGTACCCATTCAGCTTGTTTGGGCTGCGAGGATTGTTACTGGATGTTACGATTCCCCGATGCCGTGCATTATAACAACCGGGAGTACGGCGGTGGAAGGCTGATGCATGCTGATGCTGTTCTGAAACCGGCTGATGCTGATATTTGTCTCAGTCCTTCCATATTTGAACTTGGAATGAATCAACGATTTGATAAACCATCGTAAGTGGTGTGCCAGAGTGTCACTCCAAAAATACATGTATGTTGAAACAGCTAGCAGGTGAGGCAAAGAGGTTGTTTATGGTTGTTTGGTGTCTTTTGCAGGGAACGCTGTGATTGGGAGCCTTCTAGGATCTAACTTCATCTCATTTCTCTCGTTCGCCCTCTCCAGTGCATCAGCGACCTGGTTCGACCCCATACGATCTCTCCAGGATCAGTGTGAAACATGCACTGGCCATGTCTCGGCCATCGGCAGCGTCCTTCTGGTGCTCTTCATCTTGGGGTGCATCGTGGGCTATTACGTCGCACCATCCAGGCCGCAGACAGTTGGGAGTTGGAAGCTTCGCGGGTCAGAAACTTGGTCCAACCAACCGTGTGAGGATCATTCATGGACTGGACATCCGAAGATCAAAAGAAGAGGGGGGTGCAAGAACCCTTTTTGTGCAAGAAGTGGGAGCAAGGCCCACCTATTGCCCGGCCGTCTCTCACAGTCCATGGATGTGACAGGTATGAGCCGAGAGCATCGGCCATCTTCTGCTGCGTTGGCAGTGTTGGCATTGCTGTGCCATGGTGGCACAGGAGGGGTGTGGGGATGGCGGGAGAAAGAAGGAACCGTTTCTGGTGGTCAGACGTTTGCCGTTCTTGTGACTCGAGACACATGCGAGCAGCACCACATCAAAGGCCTCGATCTTAGGAACGCCGTTTATCCAGATGTACAGACTCAGAGAACGAAATCAAGGAACATATTGCCTCATATTGCCTCCCATATGCTTTCAATACAGTTTCCGGCTTGTTGTTTTTGTTTCCCTCACTGGATGTTTCTGTTGCGATGATCGTCAGCCCGTGTCCCAACCAAACAGTAGTCTTAAACACACATTCTGTAGTAAAGAAAGCCGAGAGAGCCCCAAGAAGGCTTCTCAGGGCCCCTTGGCACTCCTTTTTCGCAAAGAGTGGACAGAACAGCTCGGCGTAGCTTCTCGGCGCATAATGTGGGCTGGGGATGCAGGCAAATGACAAAGCTGTCTCTTGACACATGCAATGATAATGGCAAAGAGTGCAGTTGCAGTAGTCCATCAACACCCCTTGCGTTGACATGGGGAACTGCGCCAAAAAACTCTTTGGAAAGCGAACCTTTCTACCACTGAAGCGCTTCAACAGGCAATGCAACATCACCCTTCAACATTGCCTGGCATCTGGCCCAGACGGCCCACGGCGTTCGCAGTGACAAAGCATCGAAGGGATGACCGGGATGACGCTGCGTTCACATGGGGGAGCTAGTGCACAAAAGGGACGCAGGTGGCAGGGGGATGACATGGTCCACCAGAACAAACCGACGCAAGTTGAGCAGAACCAACACAAGTTAGGCCATTCTGAAAGTCCTAGAGATTTACAATGTCACATATGTAAGGTCTTCAGGTTGATTCAAGCAAGGCAGTGGTACAACATACTCATCGAGAACTGGTGAAGCTGTTTTCTTGTTCCTCAGTTCTCGAAGGTTGGAACTTGCTGCAAGTAATGCAAAGAACTTCTTCGGCCACGGGCACTTGCTGTCTGATATGTGGAGCCCAAGGTTGCTTTGTTGCAGAACATCGGCGTGTTAGGCACCGTCTCCATCCAGTGGCCAGCGTCCACCACGCAGCTTGGAAGAGAGCGCGGGAGCACCTGTTCAGTCCGGGTTGCAGGGTCTATCAAGGTCAATTGGTCCCTATGAATCTACAGGGGGTGAACTTTCTTGACCAACCTGTCGCAACGCCAGGTTCGGGGTCTTGGGGCGGTTTTCCCAGTCCAACACCCGGGCGTCGACCTTCCTTTTTGCCGCGATCCCGAAAGGCCCATGTTCAGTGCCGGGTCCGTGGTGCTTTTGGATCTGGATTCCGTTGGCATCAATTGCGTGGCGCCAGGCGCGATTCCGTCGTGATTTGGGTCTTTGGGGGGTCTCTTCGGGTGTCGGGATTCAATGAGCTGTCCCCGGCTTTTGGCTGGAGTCCTCAAATAGATAGTTAATGATAGTCACTGAGTCACTGTAGATCGTGTCAACCACTTCTGATGTATTTGCTGCATGAAGGAGAACCAAGACTGGCTGACGGGAGCTGGCCTGTGGCAGGTTCCGAGTTGGGTTGGTCCCACAGGGTCCAGTCCTATACCAGGACTATTCGGTGGGTGTCCGATGGACTACCCTAAACTCCATTGGACACCCATTGGATGGTCCAACCTTGTTGGTTGATGTTGGTTGTACAACTGCAGACCCGCCCGCAGTGGATCTGAAGATGTATCAGTGGGAGGCCGCCTTCTGACAAGCCAGGCAGTGTGTCCAACTACACCATGACGCTGGTGGCTATTGTGGTGGTTCTGAGCATCCTGCCCATCCTGGCAGTGTTGAGCAATGTCATCCCATGGGTGAGACGCCGCGAGCTGGCCTGGAGACGTGGCAGAAGAAGTCATTGGCCAACGAATTGATCTTCCAACGAGCAGCCTAAGCTCGTTTCCATTCCTTTCCACGTGAAAGTGCAGTCGGAACCCAACGGGCGGGTACGTCTCAGATCTTTTCACGCTGAACGCACAGAACATATCATGGCAGTCGTCAGGAAGACGGAGAAAGTTCTCAGCATGTCCGCGAACTTCATGCAAGTAGCTTTCACAACTTTAGCCCCTTGGATGGATTGGGCTCATGGGGAGTGACAGGCCTGCTGCGTGTTTCTACAAAGCACTCCCTACTATGGAGGTCCTCAAGGGGACAGTGTCTTTGGAGATGACCACAAACTGGTGGGGGAAATTGGATCTGTTGGTGGAAAACACATTTAGATTTTTATCTTTTTGCTCATGGACGGATGAACTTGTCAATTTTCGAGTTATATCCAGCAAAAGCTTCGGCTTGTTTCTCAGCGGAGGTCAGCTTGGGCTTCATTCCCTTCATGTGTGCCTTGGTCAGCAGGTTTTGGCTCGGGGGTTTACCATGCTGGTGCTGCTCCAAGCTGCCAGTAGTTACTGGTGAGACACATGCTTCGGCCGGAACGGTGAAATCCAGGGGTCTTGTCGAAGACAGGCGTCCGCCCATTTCTGCCCTCTTCGTTCGATTGTAGGCAGCCCACGACGTTTATTGCAGCTCCCGGATTCGGTGGAATGTTTGAGGCATCCCAGGTTTTGAGTGGATTGAAAGCCATCTTGACTTGGCAAAAGGAATCCAATTCCTACTCTTCATACTCATTGACATCTTCACTCTTGTTCACCCCATGATCCGATGCCCATCTCCCAACTCGCTGGGATTCACTCGCCCGGATTCACTCGCCCTCGCGCAGGGGCTGGGGTCGCACGCAGCACTCGCGCAGGCTACGAGCACCCGAGCGGCGACCTGTCCGTCCTCAAGTTTCCCAACATCCTTTGCGGCAGCGGCGAACACCAATCTATGCAGGCACGACCTGGGGATTTAGCTCTAGGGATCACTTGGTCTTGGTTGGCCAAAATGTGTGACGGGTCTTGGCAGGTCCTGGGCGCTTTGGTTATTGTGGTGGTGAGCTTGTTCTGCGCCTACTGCCGCTTTGGCCGAGTGAGACGCGTGATTGCCTCTGCCGGGAGCCGCAAGACGCATCGTTCGCACAGCAAGAAGGATCTGGGCCACCGAGAACAACTTCCTGTAAGGTCTTGTCTTTGTGCCCATTGCTTTTAGTTTGGAGGCCGTTGCCATTACAGTAATTTGGAGGGCATTGCTATTTGGTTGGAGGCCGTTGATATTAGGTTGGAGGCAATTGCTCTTCATTTGGTTGGAGGCCAGTGCTATTAGGTTGGTGGCCCTTGCTATTAAATAGGATGCCATTCCTATTAATTAGGTGGCCATGCCGATTCCTATTAATTAGTTTGGAGGCAATTTCTATTTGGTTGGAGGCCATTGCTATTAATTTGGAGGCCATTGCTATTAGGTTGGAGGCGAGTGCTACAGATTTGGA